CCATACTGATCTAACTTTAATTGGCTCATGATCTCAACTATTGAAATCTATTTATTCAATTTCATCAAATGACCACATGTGATCATGGCGAGACTATAATTTATGAACGAACCAACCAGGTATAAGATAACAGGTCATGAATTTTGGTGCGAAATTCAATCATCCATTTGGCTAAATAGCGTTTTGGCATTTCAACTGATGTCAGTTCGTGATGAAAACTTCAAATCTAATTCCTAACCCTAACCATCAAGTGTAAATCATAATTCTAATTCTTCACGACGGTTTATAACCTTCATTTAGTCCTGGTTATTAGGTGAACACTCTCAAGGTCACTTTACCATCGCTCAAAGGTCGTCCATAGATTATAGCCTCACCGTTATTTGCTATTCTTATTTGTGAACCCATTATGTGTATGAGTATACCTGCAAATTGATGAGTTATAATTAAACATTTACATAAATAGATAATAGTTTTATTATTATAAATCAGACGAAATATCAGTGTTTTATAACGATTTAAAACTTAACTCTGCCAATTACAATATGGTTGCTCAGGTTATATACACAAACTCGGGTTAGAAAGAACTATGGATACTCTTCTATGATAGATGGTTGAGGGTGGTCGATAGGAGGCTGTGAAGCTAGCTTTCGTCCTGTTTGGTACTCGTCAGTAAGGGAAATGATGCTCCCTAGTGGATTCGAATCTGCGATATAGACTGTGAAGCTAATAAAAAGTGCCAAATAGCATGGAGCCTAAGTCTAGGATATTCTGTCAACCATGTCTAACCACCCAATATGTCAATATGGCGCACGCGATGTCAAGTCACGGAGACTAGTGGCTACGTTGAAACTCGGTCGATAAAATTCGAAAACTAAAGGACCATACGGAAATGAAATTGGTTTCCACTCAGTAATCAATTGATTGTCAAGTCAAAAAAATGCACTTTTTGTACTCCTTGCGTAACAAGACAAGAACTGCTTATCTAGTCTGGAAAAGAAATACTAGAGGTTTGATTATAAACAAAAATATGTTGAGTATCGTGAGAGGCATTCAGTTGACACCGACATGTTACCACTTCTTTATTGTCTTCCGAGAATGCTAGCATGAGTTTCAAAGCAGTTATCGATTCAGCAATTCACTGATCTTTCCAAAAGTTTTGAATTAAACCGAAGAAAATTCTTTTTCTTGAGGGATATGAATAAAAAACAGCATTAGTATTGCTAGTCTCATCATTAGTATAACATGATCACAGAGCCCAAGAGACAATTGTCTAAGGCCAGTAGCATACAACTTTTTGTCATAAGACCAAGGAACGATAGAGGGTGTGCCACTCTTTAATCAGTTTTCTTTTCTAACCAATTCGATTATTTGTTACCCCCTAAACATTGTATATAATGTTACACAAGCTAGTGGATATTTGAACTCGAAGACTAAGTAGACAGTGTGCTAGACGTTTAAAGTAGAACACACTAGGTTCGAGTCCCAAAGTGAACATAGACACGAGCGGATAAATATCCGGCTGAAGATCCTTAAATAGGAATAATTGCACGTCCCACACTCAACTGCGAACCATTATCCAACTCTGCTTAACAGTGGTTGTATCCAGTACTTTTAAAACCCTAAACAAGGATCTTATTCATAACTTTGGCAGTACAGTTTACGTTTGGTTCAATAAAACTGCAGTGTGAGATGGTAAAATGAAATTATGTAATATAAAACCTGGGAAGAGATACACTGTTATGAATACTCATTTTATACCACTAATGAACCTTGAACAATGTATGTAACTTTTGTTTGATAAAACTAATTCTTTCCGAGAGTAATTCTGAAGGTCATCTACAAATCGATTATTCTAAAACACTCCATTAATCCTATTATGCTTCATACTTGATTATTATTCTTGTTTGACGTAAGATAAACTGAAGATAATTCCCCCAGATGCCCTGGTATGGCCGAGAGTGGGGTGGGCCTGTCCTCCCTCTCGAAATACTCTCACACGGCCACGCGTATGTAGCCTCTACCAGGGAAGTCCTACTCACTGCCTTCTCGCACTACTGGTGTTGTTTACGAAATTTAGAGGATGAAAAGCGAATGTCCGGCGCTTTAACCGGATTCCAAACCAAATCAATGTTGCGCATGGGCTCCAGTATCCTAAAGGAACAAATGGCGTATGAACCAATCGTTGGTCACCGGTTTCCATGGGACTGCATCTCCTCACGATGCTCCATTGCCTTGTGGACCAGACCTTTAGGTCCAAGACTCGGGGTGTGGCCCCTTAAGAAAACCACCTGCATCGGTCTGGGCACCCGGGCAGTATCCCAGCCCTCACACAAATCGAATGATTTATGTGGCGTATATGTATTTGGAGCCTCCTTGTACCAATGTTTATGTGTTTAAATAAATAAATAAAATAAATATCACAATAAGTAATTATATTTAGATAAAGTAACTAATGTGATTGAATTTAATGAGTCTGATTGTTATCTAAACAAAAATCTGAATAAAAGAGCTAGTTTATTAGGTTTTGTAAAGATTGAATGCATAGGTTGTTTTCGGAACAGATTGCTCTTAATTGAGATACCACTGTAAAACAGGAAGCTTTATATAGCTGTTTCGTCTTGGAATGATGGCCCACAGAGTTGTGCAACTATGATCCCATCAGGAATCCAACTGAGGACCTTCAGGTCTTAAAGTGAATGTTTAATCACAATAAGCATTGAACTAGCATCTAATGGTATGATTTCAACTTTCCTCAATGTGAGATATAGTGCAACGATTATCTAGTGCCAATAGTGACCACTGTTTCACTCCCGAAATGTCTTAACCCTACGAATCACATCTCATTCCCTGTGGGTGACCTAACTAAAATCAGTCTGTGACGAACAAAACCTACGAACTGGTCATTTATTTATCAACTCATTGTTTGATCATTGTCATATTCAGCTGAGACAAGATCAAGAGACAAAACTCTTCTGTTAAGTGATAAAAAATCACTTCATGAAGTAAGACACAAATGATATTCACCGACACAACGAAGGCTGAGCAATTAGAACATCTAGCTTAAACAAGGGTAGCAAAATTGTTGGTGACCATTTACAAAAAATGAATTGCCAACTAAAAGCTATTTAATTCTCCAAGTGAACCAGAACACAAAAGATCAACATGAGCTCCATTTAAGCAATTATGTACAATGCTAGTGCACTAGATAGTTAGCCACAAAGCTCTAACTTATGTGAAGGCTAGATAAAAAGAGTAATCCTGATAGTATGTTTCATAGTTGATTGATTTTATTCGCATGAAGAGATTGTGTGTTTTTTTGTTTATATCACAAAGCAACCATAGTAAAACCAATTGAAAACCAGCAAGCATTGGACAGTTATTTCGTCCCAGTTTGGGACTTCTCAGTGGTGCTCAAACACAAACAGACCAGAGTTCGAACACGGGACTCATGGGTTTGTCGATGGACACTTAATCTTTAAACCAGTGAATCAGCATATATTAGTTTACATTTGCAACTACAACAGATCCAACAATTTTCCAATATCATTGTTGGTTCACTGCCTCACACCAGGCATAGTTGAACTCCACTGGTTACAGTTTCTAATCAGAACTCTGGAATTTACATTTCGAAACTAGTCAGTTGTTGAATAGTTCCTATTCTAGGATGAAAAATCTATCGAATGTTTCCTCTCTGTGATTTACACCATAAAACTAAATACTCAAACAACAATCCATGCATACTCATCATTCAAGTATATGAAACAACTTGGGAATGATGTGTGAGGCGAAGGAACAGAATAAAACACAAGTGTAAATTCTTCCAATTTCCCTTCACATCCTAAACCACACTTCATCTCCCCACACAAGAAAAAAAGAAAACTAAATGCAATAACAAAACTAAACTAAGCTGGCAATTTTTTTTCAAAAAAACTAATTTAAAAGCCAAAACGAAAAACAAAAGACATAAAAAACAAGAAAGAAAATATTATTATTATTATTTCTTATGAATCGTCGTGGTCTTCTGGATACTGATCCTCATGAACATAACACTGGTAGTCGTTTGTACCTTCTTCTCAATGAATATTACATGAAACAATACATATTACGTAACAAAATAATGATAGCAATAAGAAGTGTAAAACAAGAAGTCTTTTATAAAAAAGGAAAACAAGTCAACAACAATTGAAACACAGATTGTATGACAAGTTTCTGATGGGATAGAATGGAAGACGTTTCCGTGATGTCAATCATTACATCTCTCTCTCTCTCTCTCTCTCTCTCTCTCTCTATATATATATATATATATATATATATATATATATATATATATATATATATATATATATGGCGTACATATGTGTATAGATGAGAAGAATATACTTGAATAAGTGAAGAATTACTCTTCTGGATCACAGACTATTCTGTTTACAGTTTGTTTGTTTTTTCTCAAACAGATACAACTTGAACTAAATGATGAAAATATAGGATTAGTAAATGAATGGAAGGGGATACTACTGAAACTGCCATTATTACTATTATTATTATTATTACTGGTACTAAAAGTACACAAGATGTACCGCACATATACATATATGTACGGACGCCAGTAGTACTTGTGTACAATACGCTGTTTTGAAGCATGGAAAATGTAGTATTGTAAAAGAAAAAGCAGAAGGGTAGAAACAATTTGTCTCTCTACCCCCCCCTCTCTCTGGCTCTCTCTCAAAAAAAGCAACTTCAATTACGAAAATAAAATGAACAGTACAGAAAAAGAGGAGAAGTTAGTCAAGGGAAATTAGAATTAATCACAATTTGTAATTTGTATGGATGGTTTTCTTTTATGAATCACAATATATATATACTACTATTCTTAGTAGTATTGAAATTGGCAAGGGAACACACCAAATACAGATAAACATTTTTGCCATTTATTTGTTGTCAATCGAATTTGAAAGATTTAAAAAACCACATAAAAACTGATTCAAGTCAAAGAAGAGTTTTTAGTAATTTCTTGGCGCTGCAGGAGCCACTCGATAAGGCACTATAATTGAAGGGAGATAGAGAGAGAAATATATAAAAATCAACATAGGGAATTAATTATACATTGAAAATTATATGAAAACAGTCCAACCGAAGTAGATGCTCTTCTTAGGGGGCCACACTCGGAGCCTTCGACTTAAAGGTCTGATCTACAAGACAGTGGAGAAACGTAAGGTGATGCAGTCCCATGGTAGTCGGTGACCAACAATTAATTCATACGCCATTTGTTCCTTCAGGGTACTGGAGCCCATGTGCACCATTAGTTTGGAATCACGGTTTTCCAACTACCCTAGATGGACTCTCCGTGTCCACTAACTCGATTAAAGCGTCGAACGTTCGCTTTTCATCCCCTAAATTTCGTAAAGGCAGTGAGCAGAGCTTGCCTAGCAGTGGTTGTAAACGCGTGGCCATGTGAGCGTTTCGAGAGGGAGAGCTGACTTTCCCCACCCTCAGTCATACTAGTGCATTTAGGGGTCAAGTGATCAGGTGATAACTTGATACTGTTATGAAGGATAGATATATAGGACTGACATCTGTTGATCTACGATGACTCCTAAGATTGGATTCTAAAGATAGTATAACTCAGTGATTTAAAACGTTAATATACATGACTCAAAATAGAATCATTTGATGAGTTCTGATAAAATTCTTTTTTACACTCTTTGTAAAAGGCAGAGTAACCCAATTAATTTGATTGTATCGTTGACTGAACTGTGTCATCTAATACACACTATTCTTGTTCCATCACTCTTTTCTTCATTGTATTCCCCCACCCTCATTTTTTTCCTTCACATTATTTTGTGTGCCTCATTTTATTGCTGAATTTTAGGTGTATTAAACAAGTTACTTATTTACAACCTGAGACAAACAACTTGAACATCCATTTTTATTGTGACATTTAATGTTGAGTTTGAATTCTACAATGTGAAGTATCGGTTTCTTCACTGTTACTGAACACACAAACTTGTTGACGATTGCCGCCTACCATGAAACCTAAATCAAGTCAGGTTTCCTATTGATCAATAAGTCTAGGCTCTCCGAGTCGACGATTCAGACAACTCTTTGTATTCGATCATCGTCGTCTCTGAAGGATTGCTGACATTCAGTAACAACACCATGTTAGTGATGCAGAATTCCGTTAATGTGTGCTGGGGTACAGTGACGACAATTTAATTAGTGTCACTATCCCGAAAAACCAGTTTCTGTTATTTGAACGCGTGCTTAAAATGTCGTCCCAGTGAATTCCATATCGTGTAATAGCCGCCAACACTGGGACTGGTTGGAAAAAGCAGTGAGATGGTCAGTTTATGACATGGTACCATTATATGAAAGAAAACTGTACAGAACTGTCATCTATCGGCCCTTCACGATACCCTAATTGGGTTTTTAGACACAGTGAAACACGGCGACTTGAGACGTTATCAAGCTTAGAATAAAAGTTAGTCGTGATCGTACAGTAATTTTACCTTACGTTTTTTCATAAAAGTAAGAGGGACTTCTTTAACTGAAAGAATTCCTTTTTTGATTGAGACCATGAATCAATTGATGCCAGACCACGATGGAAAATCTGGAAGCACTGGACGGACGTTTCGTCCTAGTATGAGACTCCTCAGCAGTGCGCATCCACGATCCTGATGGCGGGATTCGAACCCAAGGCCTTCGGTCTCGCGCGCGGACGCTTAACCATTAGACCACTAAGCCGGTATCCAACGGTGTTAATGTCTAGCCTCAACTAATCCACGAAATTGAGAAACACATCCACCATTGTTTTTAGTGAGTTACTATCTAACAACTGACCCGGTTGAACCCCACTGATCACGGCTTCTCAATAGAACTCCAAGAAATACCTCTTGAAGCCAGTCACTAGTGAGCATATGTTGATTAATATCAGAAGCGCTTTGTGGATATTATAGTAATTTTAACAGTTGAGATCATGAGTCAATTGAATATAGTTAAGTTAACCATTAAGGGAAATCTAATCACATAAATAAGCTTACCTTGATTACGGTAATTGTCGTTGATGTTATTATTATTATTCACACTACTATTAATACTACCAACACGATAAGTTTTAGGACCATGATATGATTTTGGAACACGAACACTTCCAATATCAGGAAAAGTAAAACGACTTTCAAAATGACGAACAAGACTATTGATATTATTATCATAATTGAAATTGTCCATTGAAGATAATGATGGTTGTTGAAGTGGTGGCGGTGGAGGCGGTGGTGTTGGATGTGCACGTGAATTCATTGTATAATTGTTCATATCATACACAGATGAAGGTAAATATGGATTTACATTAGAAGGTGGTGCACATGGCAAATCAGTTACGCTTCCATTAATATTTGATGAAATACGTATCACTTTAGTTGATTGACCAACAGGTATACCATTTACATCTGAGTTTGTTGAACCGGCGCGCTTTATGTCGAAATAAAACAAAACAGAAATATCAGATGCACGTTTACAAATGTCAACTTGTCAATTGAAATATCAGCCAAAAATTTAATATTATTCGTTATCGGTTAATGAACTGCATTAAATGCACACTGCAAAAGGAAAGAAATAACACAAATCAAAACTGTACTGTTGTTTGTAAGTAAAGCCGTAATATTTAACAACAACAACAAAAATGTGTAAATCGTGCACACCAATAAAATGGAATGTTGTTTTTTCAACAAACAATCAAGTATACAATGCAATAAGTGAAGAAAGAAGCGGAATCCACAACGACGAAGTGAAACATATATATATATCGACATAAGTTATGAAATTTTATCCTGTTAAAAACGATTTTTAAAAAAAAGATTTGTAACTAAAAGGAAAAAAAACCGTATAGACAGATAGATTTATGCACACAACTACCTACCTGATATCGATTTGAACTACTTTGTTTCCGTCGTGGAGAACGTCCAGATGGAGGTGGAGGTATAGTAGTAGTAGTAGTACCATTCAGATTATTAACAGTATTATTACTATTACTAACATTAATGTTATTTTCATGTACATTAGCTGCACTTCCTAACTGAAGAGGAGTTACTCGTGTTGGTTGTGATGAGGGTGATGCTGACGATGTTGATGATGCTGGTATTGAAGAAAGCATTATAACTTGTACAGGTGAACTTGGAACAACAGGTGGTGTTGGTTGATTATCTTCAGATGGTTTTTTATAAAAACTGTACCTAGGATAACTATTATTATTATTGTGAGACGAAGAATTAGAATTGCTCTTTGAAATCGACGGTCTGGCAGGAGTTGGGGGCGGAGGAGCCGCTGCCGGTGCTGGTACTGATGATCCATTACGAACGGCCTTCACACACAAATGTAGACAGATAAATTGGCTGAATAAGTATACACATACACACACACTAAGCGCAAGTGAATTTAGATGTATCCAAAAAAACAACTGTGCATAGTTATTAGGGAGAGCGAAAAGATGTAAACATATATCTTGTGCAATCAAACTAAGTTACTTAGGTAATAAAGCGTACCGCAATTTAATACAAACTATCATTAGTTAGACAGTGAGGAATAAAAACCACACGAGTATATATTCCTTAAACTATATATATATGGCTATTGTTATGATAATTATTAATGAAATTGTTAGTTAGTTTGACAGGAGTAGATTAAGAAAAGTGAATATATGTATTCTGCCTAGAAATGATGATAATAAACATTTTGAAAGGTGAAGCAAACTGTTCACACACATCCCATAAAAAAAACAGGGTGTTCGAGCACCAAGACGTTGAATCCAGCAACCATGTAAATATTTGGAAACCGAAGGGGCGGGGTAATTAGATAGGTTTATTGAGTAAAATATTATCCACATCAGAAATCGAATATACAAAACACTAAACTACAATTGCAAAAGTAGGATAATAAATAATAATTACTTCTTAAAATAACCAAAAAGACACCTTCCATTGACCAGCAGGAACTACTATTACAATCAGAAATTCAAATGAACTGATTATCTGGAGAAGTATGACAAAAGCCTTGTAATGATACCCTAGTACAAAAAAACATATCAATTTTGGTTGAAAGGTCTCGTGAAGATGAATTTTAATTTGTACGTTGTATCTGTTACAGATTGATTTCAGATGAAGAGTGTCACCGAAAGTCATTGAGTATTAAACAGCTGCCTAGTTCTAGTATGGGATTATTACTGAGTAGTGTGAACCTGAAACTATATCAAGGGTCGAACGTAAGACTTGTAGGTTTTATAGTGAGCGTGTCACCATCTAGACAGTTGAGTTGATATAGAATGACTAGCTTTAATTAGTTCAAGATGTAATGAGACGATCGATCACTATTCAGTGATAAGTCATGATATAATATTAATTAAGAGTAAATATTATCTGAATAACATGTAGGAATTCATGTTCATACATACAGTTATGCAGACGAAGACTCATTTTAAAGTACAATAGATTTACATAAATGTCATCTGTGCCTAAGTCTAGTTGTATTTACATTTAAATGACCCAATTAATCTACTGAATTTTGTTATCGTTCAATGTGACGCAGTATTCAAAAACTGTAAACTCTAGCACAGTTTGACATTTGCTTTTAGGTTTACTGTTTTTGTTTTCTTCTCTCGTGTATTTTTTTTTATTGCATAGTTTTATTATGAGAAATTAGTTCACTTCATTTTTGAATGAAAACTTTGTTTTAAAAATGTAACCATAACTTGGAAAATCACCAATAATTGAAGTGATAAAAAATATTCTAGCGAATAATTAAATGAAGTAGCAAGCAATGTCTGATATGCAACATTAGATGGTATATTATGGCATGCAACGAAATATCTACAGACATACAAGTCAAGACAACAAATCAGTTTACTTTTTGATGGAGTTTTGTTCTCTGAGCTGGATGGTTTAGTTGCGGAGCTTTCATCGTTCTTCTGAACGAGATTATCAGCACAAACTTCAGTAAGAACCAATCAACGTCGAGGTGTACAGAACAAGCTGTGAAACACATATGGAGAAATTCGAACACTTCACTTCTATCTGAAGTTTGTGCTGATGATGTCGTTCAGAAGAACGATGAAAGCTCCGAGACCAAACCATCCAGCTCAGAGAACAAAACTCGACCAAAATCATCCACCTGAGCTACAAATCTTCTCCATCATCTCAAAATCAGTTTACGGAATTCATTGGCTGATGGGACAAAACATATCAAAAAGTATGCAATTTAAGTTAAATGGGGAAACCTCGGTTGCACAGTGGAATAATTACATTTCATTTTCTGTATCTTTCTACAAATATTGGGGTTAAGTATCATTTCTAACTTTCCATTTATCAACCTTATTTATTCGTTCTTTAACTGTATTCATCACGATGAGCCTACCATAGCAATTACAATTATTTCGTCTCTTTTTCTTAATTTGTTAATTCCCTTTTTCGTTATGATGATGTGGGATATAGGTGACAAGGAGATAGGGTTTGATTATGAACAAGGTGATCGTATTTGCTGTTGGAGGTATGAGGGCGATTATTACTTCCCCGGTGCCCATACTGAATGAATATCTCTTATAAATGAACCTAGAAAGTAAACCGGGTTAATATTGGTGTTAGCGACTTAGGAGCATTACTCCAGAGCCAAAAGGATTACTGTTTAAGGGCGGTCACACACTGTCTTCTTTTAGTAGTTCTGGATGAGTCAGCTCCATTGGTTTAGGCCCTCACTATCGGAGAAATAAATCTGTGAGTCAAGGCAAAGTGCAACATTTTTATGACCAACATTTCCTAACCCCTTCTGTCTATTGTGAGAAGGCTATATAGTAGATGTTGTTTGTTTGGCCGTTACACTGCTATACAGCCAGTAACAAAACTTCGCTCTCGGGGCATGAGTTTGCTGCTTTTAGTCTAACCACTATCCAACCAACCTGCATGGCATGGTAGGACCTAAAGGAACGAATGTTCCAGCCAATCTAAATAGATTAGCTCACTATGATATGTATCCTCGACCACCACATCAAGGTAGCAGCTGCGAAAGACAAACGGAAAATGACAATCGATCTAATTGGTTTATGATGTGTACACTACATAAACCGTTCAATTTGCTTGGCTCATGTTCACATTTCAGTTTATTCGGTTTACCCCACACCATTCAAAAAAGACCCTTGAGAATGATCTCCACGTACATGCTAAAGTGAACCGGCCAGCACAAATAGCATCTAAACTATTTTACATGACCGTTACAACTATCAAACTACTCTACTGATTTCCTACTGTCAGTCATCACTAATGTGGGACCTAGCACAAATGTTTGTATCAGTTATTTGTGTCATACCTCACAAGTCAGTGTGCAGTGAAACAGAAAATTAACAGAATGAAAAACATAGATGATGTAAAATAGTGTCAGAAACATTTTAAAGTATGAAATGATGCTAAGCTCGGAATTTCGAAGAAGAAAGTCAAGAACGTAAACATTTACCACATTGTGATCCGTAACGTTTCACGGTTGTCTAATTTGGGTACATATACACGCGCCTCTTATACGATTTATCAAATCTGCCACGTAAGGGAACTAGAAATAACTAAGGGGCAGTGGTTGGCAACCTGAATAAAATGTACATGAATTATGAGTAAATATACATATTTTCCTTCAACCCTGACGAGAACATATAGGTTGAGAACTTTACTAGAGGAGTAATCAACACATCCTACAACAGTGTATCCTGCCTACGATTTCCAACCTACCATTTGACCCTGATATGACATGTGATATATTTAAATAAACTCAACCCATCGAGACCATTTTGAATCGTCACTTAACCTTACTAACCACTTATTAGGACTGTCCTGTGGATCTCAAGTAGACTTGAAATTATAAATGTGGTTCAGCCCATCAGTCAATCACTTCGCAGGTCAATATCATGTCCTCATTTGTTAACCAAAAAATTTCTCCGATAATAATACTATCCCAATCACCGTTGTGCAGTACACGGCAAGAGGAGGGAGGAGTATGTACGTCTCGAAGACCCAAAGCGATAACGGTTAGTAAACCTATTAATGATTAGGGTCGTAATTCCTTTGGATGTTTGAAGTGATTAAGTTGCGTTTTGTTGGAGCTAATGTGACAAACCAATTAGATGAAAACTCACCAACACGCTTAAATACCCCACTCAGATAAATTATAAACATGAAATATCAGCATAGGATTTTGTGGAGGTTGTGGAATTTTCATAGTTTAAATCACGAACTAATCTTAGTCATACAATCACTAAAAACCAGGGAGCACTGGATGACTGTTTAGTCTTATTATGAGACGTTGCAGCAGTGCCCATTGACGACCTCGAACCCGGGAATCTAACCCAGGACGCTCGGTCTCACACGAGGATGCTTAACCTTCAGGACGCTGGCGAGTCCCACACTAAGACGAAACGACCGTTCAGTGTTTCCAAGCTTTTAGCAGTGGCCCAACTAAGATCAGTTTGTGATTTAAAGCATAAGAATACGAAATAATCATAAAACATTACCATATATCTGATAAGTTAGCGAACCTTATAACTCTCGTAAAATTCATTCCACTTTACTGCTAACTATCTAAAGACACTATTCAGCTACTTTAATAACTAGAAAAAAGTTCAATCTCAGACTAGTTTGGTACTTTACTTAACATAATATATAATCGCATGTATTAAGTTTTAATTACACTACAAGTCAACAAACAGGAAAAATGACCGAATATTTCTAAAGTCATCCATATTATAACAATAAGAGGTTTACAGCGTAAAACTAAATGAATGAAGAAGTCTTGCTTACTGTAGCATTATTATTTGCCGTTGGAGCCGAATGTTGATAAAGCGTATAAGGAGTAGTTGACAACGAGTAGTTATTCTGAGCTACAGACGCTGCAGTAGACGGAGATAAGGGAGGGGGAGGGGGAGGCGCAGGACTTTTCACGTGCCCATAACTAGATGGTTTTGTGGATAAATTCTGCACCGTATTATTACGCCCAACATCTGCCGAACTAACAGATTTCAATTTTGGTACACCATTTGCAAAAATATTTGAAAGACCAACAGGTGGGAGATTTCCACTAGCAGGTGCTGGTGGACCTGAAGCACTGTCTTCATTGTTTTGATCTTGATAAACAAATAATAAGTAACAGAAGCGGTAAAAGCAGAAAAATAAAGATATTTCCAATAAGAATTTGTACAAATATATATTTCGAAAAGAAACAACGAACTAAAAGTGAATATCAATAAACGTGTATATTAATAATTACCAAGATTTATTAAGCGTTAACAATAAGGGATGTAGACTCCAAGAAAACTGATGCACGCATGTACGACCATGTGCCATTACAATACAAGCAGTTGGACGCAAACTACTTGTAAATAAGACTACTAAATGTAAAATGCTCTTAAGATCTATAGTTGGCTTGTGTCCTATATAAAGGTTGAAAACCGTACCTTAATGGCCACTAGCTAGTGTGAAATACAGAAATACTAGGAAGTTAGTATTCCGCAAATAATTTTGAGCCCCTTCCTTAAATAGTCACTCAGTAATAACGTGGAACTTCGTACGTACGTACATCAGTTCGAGTTGCCATACCACATTAGCACAGAGATCCTTAAAATAATGCTGAAATAGTAGCGAATTGTGTATAGATTTTTAATTCATAGTGTGGCAACAATGTAAAAGGTTTTCCTTTGGGTGATGTGGATTAATATTTTGTCGACCTGCTTCAGTTTGGGCACCCGGGCAATATCACAGCCCTCACACATATCAAATGAGATTTGTGTGGCGCATATGTATTTAGTGCCTCCTTGTACCATTATCTGTGTTGAAATAAATAAATAAATAATAATATTTTGTCGATCTAAATTGTAAATACGAGCACCTACAAACACAAAAATACCACAAAAACAATTCCAACTAGACATCTAACCAAGTGAAATATCTTTAATAACAATTGGTAGGTGGTTTTAAGACGATAAGGAAAATTCTGTGATGTGAAATTTAGTTTCTATATTTTTTTATCAGTAATTCTTATGATAATATACGCAACACGACCAAATCGCCAAATATGTACAAAATGATCCACCAGGCTCGAAATCATGCTTCTTGAGTGAAAGCAAACAATACTACTCAGCTGACTTGAGGGAATTAAGATCGATTAGAACATAAGGATTAACCGTTGAGTGATCCCAAAGCTCTCATAGATTTCCTCAAAGATATGTGAAACTACACTTTTAGCCACATGTTTTAAACTTCCGTGAATTAATGATATGAAAACTTTAGAATTTGTTCAATTCATCACGGAATTAGCTAGTCACGTTAAGTGAAATTCACGAAAAAACGTCAAATCTCAAACTGGTTATTTACCATCTGGAAAGATGGTTAATCAGTTAATAAGGACACTAAAAATGGCAAGAATTTATATCGGTAAACATTACCACACTTTATTTGAAAACAAGACAGAATTATCTGGGTAAAAACGGAAAAGTAATCATACCAAAGGTAATGGTCAAGGAAATATAAAATAACATAATTCATAAGGAGTAGATGAGACTAGAGAAAGGGGGGTGTAGAGACTTAGAACACTTATAATTTAAAGGAAACTCGAGGATAAATGAATCTGAAGCACTGTATATCACAAGACTTAAACAACACTCAGTCTTATTCAACGTCTTTATTAGCTTTCAGTCTCCAATTAATTATCATCAAAGTAGAGCGTGGTACGGACATGGGTTAACCCGCTGCCGTACGACATTAGCATAACAAGATGAAACCAACAAAAAATAGCAAGAGATCGAAATGATGTAGCAGCAAAAATAATGATAAAGACTAAACGTTGAGAATATGGTTCGGGAAGACAAAATGAAAAGATATACATTAGAAAGAATGTTGGAACTCAAGATTGAAAAGAATATAGAGAGTGGATATGAGCTCTTGTGAACGATTATAAGTTACATCATCCGAAACTTTCAACCACTGATCCTCGTTATCACGTGATTGATGACCAGGTAATCTATATCTACCAACGTGGCTCATATTAACTGTCAATAACTTTGTGAACTGATGCAACGTGATGATTCAACCGCCCCACGCCTTTTTCCAGCTTCTAAGCCAACAAACATCACCTATAGAGGCAGATATTTGAGGTCATACGCAAGACACTTTCAAATATTGTCTAACTGCTTCTCGTCAATATGTCAGGGGTATTCATTTCAATTTTAACTATTTGTGCGGCAAGCACCAACCTACAACGTTGCAGAACATTATATCTACGACCCTTAAATCTTACTCCAGATATTTTGAAACTTTGTGTAATAGACCATAAAAGATTCTCAGGTTACACTTGTGTTAAGCTAAACAGTAAGATATAACGCCAACTATGCAAAAAATGAGGGACCATCAGAAACTTTCTGAAACTTTACTACGGCCTGTGATCAGAATTTGGTTTCACCTTACTTTCGTCACCCGGATAGCCCAACGAAAATGTTGACTACACATATACTACATGAGTTTCTTGCATGTTGATTCGAATACGTATTCTCAATGTGTGAAGCGATAAGGCAAGCATAACTACTGTTTTAAAGTCACTAGAAGTGACCACCTTAAGGTGGTCATTACTCATTTGTTTACAGCGATTTTGTGAATCATTTACAGATTAAATCGAATCTATGTACAGATGATACTACAATCCAAAAAAGTATGAGCTAACCTGTTGGTTTCGACCCAAGAGGAGCACTCCTATCCTTCTTTTCAGAATCTGGAACTTTTCTAAGTGTTCGGCCGGCCCTAATATCAGCCAAAAACGCCGGACCCGAAGAGTCGCAGGCCTGTTTGGTGGTGGCCTGGTAGATTTAATCTGAGGAGGAGGTGGTGGGGGAGGGACAGACATTATGTTGACTCGTTGAATACGACAAAATAATCAAGCAGGTCAACCGAACCGACAAGGTCAAATTTACAATATGCCGCGACATGTTCACTTGTCCAAATGGATCAAATGGTTGTAGACTGAATAGAAGAAGCTTTCGCTTAACAAGCTTCCGTGTCTAGTAGCAGGGGATCACCAAATCCTCCAGGCAGGAACCTAGGTATGTTAACAATAAAAGAGGAAAAGAAATTGGTAAATCACAGTGTGATGCTGTCCTTGGTCCTTAAGGATAGGTCAAGTTGCCTCTTGAAGGACTCCTGAGAAGTCGCTTGGACTAGCTCGGCCGGCAGCGAATTCCAGCTTTTGACAACTCTTAGGGAGTAGAAGTTGTGTCTACATTCCGTTTTGCTATGTTGTGTCTCCAGTTTCTGGGTGTTACCCCTTAGGTTATTATTCGAACTAAGCTTAAGTAGGTGTTTAAGAGGATGTCCAGAAGTGTTGAGAATACTATAAGCCATTAATAGATCACCTCTAAGACGCCTATACTCTAATGGGTAAAGGTCTAGTGAATGGAGGCGTTCTTCGTAAGGTTTAGATTTGAGTCCTCGAACTGATTTCGTGGCTCGCCGTTGGATACGCTCCAAAGTGACCTTGTCCTTTTGGAGTGAGGGGGGGAGTACTATGTTTCCGTACTCTAAATGGGGACGGATGAAACTATTGAAGATTGTGTGGAAAGTTCGTCCGTCAAACTGTCCAAAAATGCGCTTCAACGTTACCAGTGCAAGGTTTGCCCAGAAGGCATTTTTGTCACAGTTAGCGTAAGACTTTAAATCATGGGGCACCAGGACTCCTAAATCTTTTTCGACTTGAGATACTACTAGAGAGGAGTTTCCTAAGTTGTAACTGTAGTTTGCGACATGTCGCAGATGGACTACTTTACACTTTGAAGTGTTAAAGGTAAGTCCGTTATCGTCTGCCCAACTTTGAAGTCGAGTCAGATCCTCCTGAAGTAACTGTTTATCGTCTTGGTTGCGTATCTCTCTCCAAATTTTCACGTCGTCGGCAAAAAGTAATAAGTCTGACGTTACCTGTTGAGGAAGATCGTTTATGTAGATCAAGTAGAGAAGAGGCCCTAGCACTGAGCCCTGGGGGAACCCACTAGGACATTCAATAGCCTGAGATAAAGTGAAATTAACCCTAACCTTAAAGTGTCGATTTTTTAGGTATGAAGTAAGCCAATCGATTAGAGGTGGTTTGATACCTAGTCGTTTGAGCTTATTGATAAGACACAAGTGGTTAACCTTATCAAAAGCTTTTGAGAAATCAAGGTAAATGATATCAACCTTTCCCTTGCGGTCGAGGATGCTTGTCCATCTGTCCACTGAAGTCAGCAGGTTGGTTGTACAAGAGTAACCCTTCCTGAAACCATACTGTTGGGGTGAGAAGAAATTTAAGGACAGTAGATAGTCGTTTAAACCGTCGCACATCAGGGGCTCCATGAGTTTTGAAGGTAATGACAGAAGAGCCACCGGTCGATAACTTGGAGGTTCATTGAGTCGACCTCCTTTGAAAATTGGTGTGATGTGAACCAACTTCCAACTTTCCGGTAGTTTGTCTCGGCTTAGCGAGTGTGAAAACATCACGCTAAGCGGCGTTGCCAGGATTGAGGCTGCCTCCCTCAGTATGGCAGAATGAACCATATCCGGGCCAGGAGAAGTATCGAGTCTTAAGTGCTGCAATTTCCGGAACACCAGGTAAGCGCTTAGGTCTGTAGATCATCAACGTAGATGATCTATGTCGAAATGATTGGAGGCCGACTCGAGTTAGACGTGAATAGTGTGACGAACCAACTAACGTCGAAGTCACACCTCGTGGTCAGCACCTTACGTGGACTACCCCCATTGACGTAACAAGGTACTATAGATGCTTTGAAGACTGTACAACACAAAGGACGTTATTACAGAAATATATTAGTTAAGGTAGATACAGGCGAAAGTAAGACCACTGCCGCATGGGCCAGTCCATGGCATACCATTAACTAATGCGCGTTTGTTGTACATGACCTTGGCAGGGAGCGATGATCTGTTCGACATTCAGTGATCCAACTGCCGGATGATTTGGCTAGGGCTCAGTGACATTTCACTGGCCCTACAATACTCCCCCACCAGATTCAACGGCCGTTTGAATCGGTACCAAACATGTTGGGAGCAGTCGCGCGCCAGAGAGTGCCAAACGAATATTATAAATCCTCCAGGTATTGCTTATCTGTAAAACAAATGGAAAGGAGGCGGCAGAAACTGGTCGGGAAACAGCGAGTCATAATATGTTAGTAGGACGTTGGTTAAACGTAAATTGATTAACCATAGAAATAATGAAAAGAACAAAACGTTTTATTGTTCTATCAAGTCGCGCTGAAATATATAGCCTTGAAAAGTAATTCAGTTCCTCCGTTGACAAACGTTAAGTCTGCCGCAAGAGTAATGATGCTATAGCGATAGTAGGATAAGTGTATTATCAATCGATGTCCATATTTGTACTGTCATTAGTTTAAAGTTGTAAGTCGGACAGTGTCGTTGACAGCTATTAATTAGTGTCGAATTCTAGTTATATCTATATCTAACAGACTAACCGTAAGTACAGAAGTATAACCGTGAAGAGTGGTCGTGATTTCGTTGTGCGAAGCTATTGACCAACTTGTAGTCAGAGTTTGAAAAGTCGATGACTGCTGTTACAGTCAGTAAGGGTTGAAGGCTACAAATCGACAGCAAAGGTGGCACGATGAAGTCTCTAAAAGATGATAAACGGTGAGTGCTGCGTGTTTGTTCGGTTAGTGAACAGAAAAATATCGAAAAGAACATAAGAAACCAAGAGTGTCACTCTGGACTCATGTCAATGATACCCGTGAAAAACTCTGTCAGTGTTGGGATAGAGGCGACAATATCGTTTTCAGTTTGCAGGAGATTCGCTCGACTGCATAAACTGATGATTCGCGCGAATGATATTGTCGTCAGACCACCAATTGAACTGGACAGGTTGTAAATCGTCGAGTAGTTGAACAGCCGATTGATGTACCGGAATCATCTGTTAAATAACAGCCACGAGGAAACAATACTTCATAAAATGAAGTACGACATCGAAGTAGAACAACTACAATAGTTCAGATGTGTTACAATGTCAAGTCTAAATAACATCGTTCTTACGTATACTGACAGTTGCACTGAACGTTCGTTTAGGTATGATTAGCGTAACAGTTGGATGTGTGAATAAAAACATATACGAAAACTATGGTTGGGTTCGTGGAGAATTTTCGAGGACGTTTAGATATTTTCCAAACCCGTATGGCATGTAAATAAACCGAAAATAGAATTGAAATGACTGTCGTGTAATAAGGAAATCGAGCCATGATTTACCGTGTGAATTAATAGCAAATACAAGGGGTATAATAAACATTAATTAAAATGGTAACCACCAATGTAACTAAGGTTTAGAGGGTCCAGGTAACGTGGCCATTTCGTAAAAGGCTGATACAAAGAGCTTATTACCTAGCGTTAAGTGACATATTAAGTACGACAACGTGTGTACTTGGGACATGGACTAAGCGTGCTCGTGTACATGCAATATGTTTTACCACAGTATGTCGACTAACGAGTCATAAATGTACATGATTTCGACTAAAACTTGACGGCAGTGACAGAATATATGACTACTTTACGTGAAAGCAACTACGAAATGTTATCACGCATCATAAATATAGTACGAAATAATCTAATGAAATTATGAAACTCGCCTGGGTTACTCTTGCCTTTAAGTAATGAAGTAGGCAGTAGTTTGAATCTGGATTATGTACAAGGTACTGTTGATTAAATTTTTCGATTAACACAGCGTTGTAGACTGACGAACAGTCTAAACGAGATCTAAGATCGCAGGAAATTTATAGTTCAAACTCACCGTGAATTTCTAGCATTCGTATCCTCTGTTTGGCCATGGAACTCAGCAATTGGAAATTAGGCAGGCAGTGGTAAAAAAAAGCAGAACATTCTAGTGGATAGTGGTTAAGCAGAAAGATGAATTTATAGTCGATAGTTAATCTTGTCTTATTTATACCAATGGATAAGGTACAAAGAGACATGCGTTCGTGTTGCCTTGTGGCTATACTCACGAGTGGTTGATATTTTAACAGACATATTACACAGGAGCATTTACATGCTGCTAATGCTTGTTAAAGAACCACGATAGCCGATTATAATCGTAGTTGATTGGTTAGTTCTGTCGATTGAACGAATTATTTAGGTTTAAATGCTAATCAACATTGACATGAAGCAACGAAAGTTCACAGTAACAGATTAACATAGGCGATGATAAAAATGAAAAAGAATAAGTATAGAATACAATAACAAAGATTATAGTGATAGGTTGCGTTATTCGAAGTCTTGCTCACCAGTGTAGATCATCAACGTAGATGATCTATGTCGAAATGATTGGAGGCCGACCCGAGTTAGACGTGAATAGTGTGACGAACCAACTAACGTCGAAGTCACACCTCGTGGTCAGCACCTTACGTGGACTACCCCCATTGACGTAACAAGGTACTATAGATGCTTTGAAGACTGTACAACACAAAGGACGTTATTACAGAAATATATTAGTTAAGGTAGATACAGGCGAAAGTAAGACCACTGCCGCATGGGCCAGTCCATGGCATACCATTAACTAATGCGCGTTTGTTGTACATGACCTTGGCAGGGAGCGATGATCTGTTCGACATTCAGTGATCCAACTGCCGGATGATTTGGCTAGGGCTCAGTGACATTTCACTGGCCCTACAGGTCCACTTCGGAAAGTCCTGTGGAATTGCAGATGAAACTGTCGTCAGTAAAGTTGATGTCGGCCGATTGAAATTTCTGAGAGTAATGTGCCGCCAGAAGGCTAGCGGCGTCGCCATCGTTGTTGGTCGGCCCGTTAAGACCTAGCAGTTGAGAAACTCCTGTTTTAGCTTGACGAAGAGAGGCTGCATATCGGAATAGGCTTCTAGGGTTAGAGGCAAATTTGTCCATAAGCTTTGTTTGGTACTGAAGCCTGTCTTCTCTTATAGCCTTCGTGCATATGTTCCTTATATGTTTATATTGCCTATACGCTCCATCGTTATTAGTTCGTTTGTATTCCGCCCAACAGTGCCTTTTGCGGCTTAGCAGGCGAAGGGTACGGTTCTTGATTACTGTAGGTGGCTTGCAGCTTTTGGGAACCGTTTGAGGAACTGAATGGCTTGTAGCACATAAGAGCGTGTGCAGTAAGAAGTCCCAATGACCGTCCACATCGAGTTGAGGGTGAACATCCCAAACCACCTGTTGTAGATAGTCATGTAGAGCTGGCACATTCAGCCGTTTAAAATTCCAACGCAAATTATTGTTGGGATACCTTAGCTTAGTTTTGATGACAAAACTGAAGGCTATGACGGCATGATCGCTCTTTCCCAGAGGAGCCAGGATTGAGAGGTTGTCAACTAGGAATTCTTCGTTTGTGAATACACAGTCTAAGCGCGATGGTGTCTGACTGTTTCTCCAACGAGTTGCCGACCTCACATTTTCATATAAGCCCAAGTCATCGATGAGGTTGAAGAACCGAGCTTCAATTGAGTTGTCGCCTCCAGTGTACGTGTGTTCCGCGAAGTTGACTCTAGGGAGATTAAAGTCCCCTAGAATCAGGATGTGTGTGAAACCGAGACGGGTAGAGCGGGATAGTCCTTCCAGCATACGACTATCGTACTCGATGTCGGCAGTTGGCTTCCTGTAAATGACTCCGACTAGACACCTCGAAGTACTAGACAATCTTACAGAGCACCATATGGATTCCTCAAGATTGTTAAACTCGAGGTTGTGAACTTGGTGCACCTCCAAGCAAGAGCTTATGTATATGGCTACTCCGCCCCCAATTCCTGTTTTTCTGTCGTTGCGGAACAAAGTCATCCCAGGTAATGCTAACTCTTGGTCCGAGAACTGAGAAGATATCCAGGTTTCAGATATTCCTATCAGATGGGCCTTATTAGCGTTGCTAAGTTCACGTAATTCATCCAGTTTGTTTGGTAGACTCGCGGCGTTCATATATAAGCAGTTTATGCTTTCAATTTGGAACGCGTGAGCTTCGTCCTGTTTTTCTGTATGAGCCTTATGTGAATGGACAGGTAGCCCACCTATATGAGGTTTGCCGAGGTGGTAGGCCCTGTCCTTTACACGTTTTTTTATCATTTAGACAGTCCACAAGTGGAATGGTCAGCTCCAACTTGCCTTTGTTCTTGGTCCTAGCTTCGTATGGCCTATCCGGGTGCATGTGGATTCCAGGTGGCAATCGACGTCTGTTGGCACGAAATGCTTCCAGAACTGCAGCCGCCATGTGGGAAGATGGGAAGGTTATCTTCATTAGACGGGGTCTAGGATCACCGTCCTTCTTGGCTAGTCTAGTCACATGCTGAGTCAGTATGTGTTTGAGCCTCAAGGACTGTTTGATGAATTTCCATTCCAACAGTAGAAATTGACAGAATATTACCTTACAGGTATTCGGCTTCTCTTATTGCCATACCTCAATCCCCTCTAATCCCAGATAAGCTTTTTTTAAATAAATATTCGGCTGCTTTGTTGTGTGGCAGAAAATTAACCAAAATGAAAAGTTAAGTAGACATTTGACAATGATGATTGTGGAGATAGTTGACATGAAATTGATCTGCAATTAATTTTTCCCATTGTTCGCATTTTTCAAAATTTCACATGATTTGTACAGTAGCTATTACTAACTGTAAAATTTTCGTTTAAAATACTTTGACCATGATTTTCTGTTCCTGAACTCTCGTAGCAAGTCGGATTGACTATCGCTCACAAAAACACTGCTGCATACACATACTTCTCGTCCTCACTTATCAACCCTGATATATTTGCTGCCCCATCACGTGATTACCCTTTATACATATCTCGGATTTTATCAATCATATTGAAGATGCCACGGGTATTTGGAGTTTGATAACGCTTTAATCAGTAACACCGACGACTGAATCGTACCCACCTGGTGAAATCAAAAGTCAAAAGCGAGGAGGTTCGAAGATTTGTTGACAAACTATCAATACATCGAGAATCAACTGATGTAAACTGGCTAGTGATTGCACGAGAAGTTGAACACGGCGTTCCCACTCGTGATCGTGTGCGGGTGCATGACCGGGGGCCTTCAGCTAGGTGGATTCATTGAAACTAATGTGGTCAGCATCCAATGTCAAAGACTTACAGAGCTATTTATTTTGAGGATTTATTTGCCTCTATAATATTAAGAACCTTTAACTACTTAGAACCGTGGATCACTGAGCGAAAAAAGTACTCAGATACACCCTCTTCTGATAATTTAAGTAACATCCCAAATCTTCCTTTGTATGTGATTTATACTTCGGCATATTATGTGCTGTCTCTACATTTTTGTAACAACTTTATCGGTATTTCGGAGTTGATATATTTGGTACACCACAAGATGCATGACCGGTCGCCTTCAGCTAGGTGAATTCATTAAAACTAGTGTAATCTAATGTCGGAGACTTACAGAGCTGTTGAAGATTTATTTACTACTACAGGTCACTCCCTCTCAGTTGTGTAGTGATGACCGTAGGACGTGGCCAGCCTTAAGTTTTAACCCCCAAAGAGTTTGTCGCTGGTAAACACCTCTGATAACTTTCAACGTTCAGCAGATTCTGGTCGTCTTTCTTCACGTGCTACTATATAGTAATAGAGAAACAGCTAGAATGAAAATTTCGGTTAATCTTGGACTTCGTCGCTCTTTTTTCGTCTTTTTGAGCCTGAACGAAAACGGAAAAAAGGTTGTGTAAGTGCATGTCGAATTGCACTTATACGCACGTAAAGACACAAAGCGGGCGACAAAAAGGAAAACTCATGCACATGCGACAGCGTCGAAGCGATTTTTAAAGAATATTTTTGGGGATGTTTTTGAAGAAAAAATTGAATATACACATATTAGCAAAATATTTTGTTTGTTTTTTTGGAATAAATATGTATATCTAAGCATATTAAAAATTTTTTCATTCTATGAAATGCAAAGAAGGATAGAAACATAACAAAATATTGAATAGTGTCTTACGTGCAACAATCGTCTAAATGTTCTGGAAATCATACTCTTCGTCCAGAACTCGTCGTTTCGAGTTTATTTTCAAATATTGCCGAAGTATCATCGCGCATGTTGGCTATCAGATCAAGTATTATGAGTGTAGAAGTCGTGTTGTGCGATTGTACCGAAGGGAAATCGTCGTAGATGAGACTTCCCTCTAAATACGCTGCTTTGAGGCGATTGATGCTGATGCTATCGTTAGTTACGTTCTTATCGACTATATAGTACTTCGGTTCGCGTTGAAGAACTTTGAAAGGTCCTTCATATGCTGATTTGAAAGGTCGTCGATGCGAGTCTCGACGAACGAAAACGTGTGTACTATATCGTAAGTCAGGTTGAACGAAAGCATCAGTTGATTGAGGTCGAGTGGAAACAGGTTTAACTGAACGCATTGCGTTTGTAAGCCTGTTCGTGTAGGAGGTTAGATCCATGTTCACTGAAGAGGACGAAGGATCCACGAATTCTCCTTGAAGTCGAAGTGTCGTTCCATAAACGGGTTAAGCCGCAGTGTATCCAATGTCAGCTTTCACTGCATTGCGAATACCTAGTAAGACGAGTGGAAGAGCGTCGGTCCACTGTGAAACGTTTGCAGCTGATAGCGAAGCTTTTAGTTGTCAATGAAGACGTTCTACCAACCTGTTTGCTTGTGGGCGGTAGGCAGTTGTTCACAACCACGTTACTCCTAATAGTGTAGTCAGACAAAAGTCCAGATTCGAGCCGCCGTCCACGGTCTGTAGTGAAATTTGAAGGGCAGCCGAAGTTTGCTACAAACCGTTCGACGAAGGCGCGGGCCACTATTTTAGAAGTAATGTTCTTGATGAGTACTGCTTCTGGTCACTGAGTGAAACGGTCTACGCAAGCCAAGAGATAAAAATCTCCATTTTAATCTGGTAAAGGTCCTACCAAGTCCAGACGAACATCGTTGGGAGTTTTGAATGACAAGAAGGGACATTTGTTGTGTCTAATAACCTTATATTTCTGGCAGCTTACACAGGAGTGCGCCCACTCCCTCACGGCTGTATTCATACCAGGCCAGCAAAACCGTTCTGCTGTAAACTTGTTGGTCGCACAAACACATGGATAAGAAAGTTTGTGCAACGTATTGAAGACGTTGCGTCGATAATATTTTGACACGATTGGGCGATCCCTACCTGTAGATGTGTCACATAGTAAGGTTTCCTTACCTGTTCCCATCTGTTTAATGAGCAGTTTAAGGGTTGTTGAGGATGACTCGTGCTGAAGATCAGTGTCTTCTTTCTGAAGTTGGGTAAGTGCAAGAAGGTCGATTCCCTGAAAACCGTCCAAGGAATTTATGCGAGACAAGGCGTCTGCGACTACATTTTTTGCTCCAGAAATGTGTTGTATATCTGAAGTTAACTAAGGGATGTAGTCCAGTTGTCGAGACTCTCGAGGTGAGTACTTGTCTGGAGTTGACCTTAAAGAGAAGGTAAGAGGTTTATTCTCGGCCTTCTATAGAGTGTTGAGAATGCCGTACAGCACAATACAGAGGTAGAAATTTTCTAACAAAAGTGTTATACCTCGACTCGGTGTCTAGCAACAGTTTCGAGAATGCCGAACGTTGCTAATTGTGATTAACATATTACTGTAAGACTCCTCCGATTGCTCAGTCGGATGCGTCTATTGGGATACTAATGGGTGCTTGGGTGTCCTGGTGTCCAAGTATGGTTGCTTTGCGGTAAGTCGCTTAATTGTGAGGAATGCTTTTTTAGCGGTATCGTTCAAACTTATGGATTTCGCGTTTCCACTAAGCTGGTCGGTTAGAGACGCGCATTTTGGTATGAACCGTCTATAGAAACTTACTGGGCAGTTAAACGTGCTTAATTATTTGATTGTAGTCGTTTCTGGGTAATCCAGAATAGCGACTACTTTTCTTCTCAGATGCCTTGAGCATCTATAGTGTGTCCGAGGAAATCTAGTGAGTCAGTTCCGATTTGGCATATCTGAATGTTTTCAATAATGCCGTGCTTTTGCAGTCGTTCGAAGACAAGGTTCAGATGCTGCAGATGGGATTCTCTGTTTGGACTTGCTATCAGGCAGTAATCAACATACGCATGTACGCAGTTGAAGCCTCGAAAAACGTCATCGATGAATCTTCGGATGGTTTGGACAACATTTAGTAAACAGGAATGCATGCGCAATACTCATAGAGACTGAAAGTAGCGATGATAGTGGTTTTAGGAATACCGTCACTGGCCATAGGAATTTGGCTATAGGCTTTAAACATGCCGATTTTCGAAAAAACAGTTGTACCTTTCAAGGTAGCTGTCAAACCGTGAATATGGGGCAACGGGAAACGATCAGGAATGGTTTTTGCTTTCAATCGCCGATAGTCACCAGTTGGATGCCAGTCGTTGCTGTCCTTCTTAGGTACCATTTACGAAGGAGATGCACATGGACTGTTTGACGATCGAATGATTCCTAAATCTACCATGTGGTCGAATTCGTTTCTAATCAACCTCAGCTTTTTGAGAACCAGTCGGCGCGCTTTCGAGAATGCAGGTGGTCCTGTAGTCATGAAGTTATTTGTAGCATTTGGTATATCCCAGAGTACTTGTCGAGCAATTGCTAGAAGACTGGATCTATCGTGTGCCTAAATGTGACTGCAGATAATCTACAACCAGAAAAAGAAGTTACAGAATTATATAAATTAATGTTTCCGTCTACTAGCCTCTGTTTCCTCGCGTCGATGGGTAACTTATTTTGTAGCCGGTCTATACCAATGATTGGCATAGAAACGCTAACTACTGCGCCAGTATCAATGAGGTAGCGAACTTTCGTTATCACATCTGTGACATGACAGAAGTCTTTTTTCGCTGGATACGGTTGCCGTTAACGCGTGTCGGCTGGGAAGTTTCCCGAATCGTTTTTCGTGCCGATCGATTTTGATTTCAGAAAATGACAGGGATTTCTTTAATTACTGGAGGATGTTTCGTACTGGTTATTAAACCAGTAACAGTCGGGGATATGTCTCTCGTGGTCTAGAGACAGATCGCTTACGTGACGTACTTCGTCGCGAGGTTTGTGACCGCTTACGGTCATTACGAAATCAAAGGTAACGTGTCAACGTATGACACAGTTATAATAACGATAATAAATTATTCTCAAATAACAGTTTGTTACATGAGGAATGCCAGTTTACAGGCAAAATCAAATTATTACGAAAGATACAATTTTCACTGTAGTAAATTACTCAGCTGGGTTGATACTTTATAACACATGAATGTAGATGGTTTTAATGAGGATCGTCGTGTCAGTATCGCAGTTGGCGCGCTTTATGAAGGTTGCGTTGTGACGTGCAACCGATGGTCGAGAATAGATCCATGTTAAGTTGGGGCTTCTAGAAACCACAACCTTATATCCCTCTGGAATATCTGAGGCTTTAATGATGGTTCAGGAAGA